GCTGCAAAAAGCGGAGATATAATCCTCTACACGGGATCAACAATGGTTTGGGTTATTACTGCTTTTCGAACCTAAGCAAAACATTGACGATTGTGATAATGGTTTTTATAGGTAAATGGGAGTCACCGCGACGACACCGTACCTCCGAATGCTGCTTTTTTTTGCACTAGAGTCTACAGGTGCAGTTCCTTCTACATCTAATATGACTCCCATTGTGACCACGACTTCAACTAGTAGTTCTACCTCACTTCAATCGGCCAGAACACAAGTGGATTCTGCCAATGAATCAAATGAAACAAAGGTGTGAAGTCCTCTTGAAATTGCGTTTAGAAAGAAAGTTATTTGACACATAACATGGTTAAAAAATTAAGCAGTGGAATTCTGTTTGCTCTGTAGATTAAAGCTCGAGGGATGATTCTTCAACAGCTTGTTGAGTTGAAGAACCTTAAAGATGCCAATGTACTTACCAATGATGAGTTTGAGGAACAGAAGAAGAAGATGTTAGAAGATCTCAAGAAACTTTAATTATTATTTGACAATAATGTAAAATGTTTTATGGTTGTTTTGTTTGTTTCTGAGTATCATTTACATGCTTATTTGTCATTTGCAAATAAGTACACGGAGGGCTTTACAAGTAATCTGTAAATCTTAGATAGTTTCTAATGTCTGCATCAGAGATTTGCATGAAGGCTTCAAACACCATTTCCTCTGGATCATCACGACACACTTGCCACACAACATCATTTCCTCGAATCCAACTCTTTGCTTGAGAGAAAACGTTCTCACATKGATTGAAGTCARGACTGTAAGATGGCAAGAATACCACAAGAGCGCCACTAGCATTTATAGCTTGAACTACACGACGACAGCGGTGAATTTTAGCATTATCTGTAAAAATATAATGCAATTTCTCTTCATTAATTTAGTGTGTTGCAATAAAATACTAACAAAATCTGATGTGACGTGAGTGCTCACCCATTACGACCACAGAGAGAGGATTAATCCCATCAAACGGCTGTAGATTAGGAATAAGGTTTTCATTCACAAATTCAAGAAATTTCTCTTCATTGGTATTCCCGCGGCGGATACTCAAGTCTATTATTCCTTCCGTGCAGATGACAGGGATAGCAGTAATCCTGGGACCCCAATTGCCATACCATCTTTGTGTTTGAGCTCGATAGCCTCGAAAACTGTATCCAAAGCGTCTCGAAATTCGTTTATCCTGTAATGCAGAAACATTTGTTATAACCCCAGTGCGGAGATCAGCTAAAAAGGTATAACAAAATGAGTTTCTGAACTTGAAAGAGAACTTACAAATCCACACTCGTCAAGGAACACAAACATCGCAGGATTGAATTGTGATACCACAGACCAATAGTTTATTCGATCTTCTTCGCATCTTTGATAAGGAATTCTTTTGAGCTATAAACACCGAAAGTGAAATGTGTTGAATGAAAAATTGCAGCAATTTTCGAATACAATTAACATTCATGATTACAGATTTCTCATCGGCTTACAAGAATGCATTTAACACTTAATATTACCATTTTACGTGTGATGCCATTTCTTCTGAAATAGTCGTGTAAAGTAGAAACAGGAAGCCTGGCACCACATACTCCTTCAACGTGTCTACAGAGCTCAGATAGAGTTTTTTCTGGGTGTCCTAACAATTCTTGCATCAAAACGGCTTGTTCTTGTTGCGATAGCGAATACGAACCAGCAGGTCTTCCTGGTTTGTCAGCACAAACATCTCGTCTCTCGTAATATCGTCGGGCGAAGCGTAACACGGACCTTGAAGACATGCCAAGGCGAACAGCAATGTCACCTTTACTGTGGTTTAAGCCATATAGCAGTACGCTTCTCATCCGTAAATCGTCACTTAATGCTCGCGGCATGATTGCTTTGACCCATGTGTTGGTGTGCACGTGGTCAAATATAAACTATCCCATGACTCCCCGCGCCACTAGTTTATACACTTTTCGCTTCACGGGTGACAAAGTTTTTCGGAAGGGGTATATCGTCTTAGAGGGATTTTCATAAACCCGTGAAACAGATGACAATGGAATTAGGGTCTACTAATACTAATTTGAGATATAGATAATTTGTAGTGATTGGGAACGAGGTTATCCGGGGCGAAAGACCCTTGGAAATAAATTCGGAAAAATTAATTTCCGACCTCGCTGGGAATCGAACCCACGACCTTCGGAATTGTACTACCGATGCTCTACCAGCTGAGCTAGAGGTCAGACTGAGATCAGGCCGGGGTGAATTAGATGTTTGGTTGCGGTAATTATGAATTATCTTTATCATCATTATTATTATTATTATCATTATTATTATTATCATTATTATTATTGTTATTATTATTATAATAGACGCAAGACTCGATATACATGCGCGTGGATTTTGGGAACACCAACGTTCGGCCTTCTTTGACGTGAGGGTATGTCACCCCAATAGAGAGTTTTAGATTTACTTTCACGGCAAACGTGAAACGTCAATTGACCATTTAAAAATTATTTTAAATAGCTCAAAAAGAATCGCAAAAACGTCCAAGTATTAGAAAAACAAAAGAATATTTGTATTTGGTGAGAAGGTTTGTAAAAGGTAAAGTAAAGTACAGGAAAACGATGAAAACGTGGTCACGTTTGCCGTTCGCGGGGAGAAAAAAAGTCAATCTAAAACTCTCTAATGCCGAATCGTACCGTGAACTAGAACCACAACAGATATATGGACTACATGAAAACGAGAAAAAGCGCCAATACTCAAGGAGAGTTATAGACATCGAGCATGGCTCATTTACACCATTGGTATTTACGACTACAGGGGGGATGGGTAACGAGTGCCACGCATATCATAGTCATTTG